CTGATGCTCCCAACCAACAGCAGCAGGCTGCTGCTGCACCAGCTTCAGCAAGAGGCATCTGGAGACAGGCTGCATCACAGTCACATCCACCCCGGGTACCACTTCAGCACATTTACCTGGCAGTTAGAAATAGACTACAAAACACCCGCAGCATTCTACAGCGTTTAAAAAGGAAAATATCAGCAATAGGAAAGAACCCAATGGGTTTGATGTGGTGTATTAAAATGTGACTTAAGGCCCCTGCAACAGTGAGATACCCCCCACCAACTGCAGCCTCCGATGGGATTACATTAAGCAATGATCACAGAACAAGAAACTTGCCACTCAAGCAGTCCTCAAGTGACAGACTGCTCTGCAGATAAATGCTCCTAACAGGGCTCCTGGAAAATCTGCACATGAGACGAGTATCAAAACGCTGTCCTCAAAAGTTAGTATTAGAATAAATCTCTTAAACCTCATCATCCTCTTAGAAGAGTTTTTTTTATTAAAAAAAAAATAAAAATAAAAATTTGCACATCTGAAAAAGGGGATTACTAAGAAAAGTTTAGTAATATTTCCTTATTCTATTCTACAGTGAAGAAACATTAAAAAATTAAAAACATTGCCACAACTCTCTGGAAAGTTACATTACATCTTACGTATGCGATTTCTAGAATATTCTTTATTTCAACCATCTCAAAAACTGTCCAAATGTGTGTAACAGTAAGTGTTTAAAATCTCATTAAAATCAAAAACATGTAAGTTTGCAGACTTGATGGTCACTTTGAAATTTGTGTTTAAGTGTTAAACTCCATTTGGATTTGTTCACTGCAAGAAATATAAATGCAAAATTTACTACATCTCGAGTTTGTAATTGTGAAGATAAATATTTGAACCTTTTGCTTTCTGAATCTTTATGAAATCAGCAGAGTAACTTCTGTACAGCCCCAGAACTGACATCAAACACTTCTTCCCCAAACCATTAACTGAAGAAAGAACCCAGCTGCAGTTCCATCCATACCTGCTGTACAGTCACAGCAGTTCAGAACAGAGCTGAACAAAGATGACCAGAATTACCTTTCTCCTTTTGTAATAAAAAATGCAGCTGCATTATTTATTGGCTTGAAAGCTAGACTGAGAACCAGGAATGACTGAATATTCATGGTGGCTGTGGCAGTGCCCTGCTGCCTGACCCTGGCTCCTGTCTGCGTTCTTATCCGCGCCGCAGACAGACATATGCACAAAGAGAGCCTATCTCCATGAAGATAGGCAACCATACTAACGAATCACATCTGAAACAGAAGCAAGAACAGGCATAATTAATACCAGCAGCACATTTTGCTCTAATTCATTAAGTCTGACAAGAGCCTTCTCCAGCCTCTGTTCCCTCCCACCACCCAGACCATCACCCAGGGTGACAGGCACAATGCTGATGCTCCTCCAGAGACAAAAGCAGACAGGACAAGGGCGAGGAGATCTCGGGTCGCTGTGGCATTAAGCTTTGCCACAGCCACTCCTGCTCTCCCCACCGTGAGCAGCGCTGCTATTTCATGCCCTGGGAGAAGCACTGGGTTCTCCCCAAGCACTCGTCTATCCCCAGGATGCTGCTGGTTGGCTGTGCTGCAAGAGGAAAGTCACAGCACCAGCAGAGCCCTGGCACAGCTCCTGGAAGTTGTGAGCACATGGCAGCCCTTGCTGTTCCACCTGTTAGTGAGCAGCTCTGCCATCACCTGCACACACAGTGTGAGAACCCATTCATGCCACTGTACACTTTGAAGACAAACAAACAAACACCAGTTTTTAACACCGAGTTGTCCTTCAAGCAGACAAGAAGGAAAAATGAAGATACCAATAATGACTTTGAATGTGAATGATCCTGAAGATTGACAGTTAAATTAAGTGCTAGAGTTCTTTCTCTTAAGTAAGAGGCATAAGAGAGAGAGCTTCAAATATGGTAATCATAACTGAAAGTATTACTGAAAGAATCTGCACACAACTATTTATCTCACTGCTAACACCAGGGACTTCCATGGAACTCGTTCCAGCAGGAGCTCCAGGTGGGGAGCTCCACACAAAGAGCAGATGCAAGCTCACATCACCACCTAATGGGTAATGCTTTATAAAAACAAGGATTCAACTTCATCATAAATATTAATTGACTATATTTAATACTCAGAGATTTACATTTCAAGGAGTAAATGGAAATTGCATAGATTAATTCCCCTTAAATAGAGGATTTCTTGTGTTTGCTTTTAATTGTCAAAGGAAAAGTCCCGAGCTGGGATAAAGCAACCAAGTGCCAATACCTACAGGATCTTCTTTTCTTTAGAAGGCAGAAAGCTGCCTGTGCCCAAGAGGTGCTTCCAGACCTGACCACCAGCAGGCTGAGCACTCAGCCCATCACACCACTGGAAGCTGGGGAGTCCTGACATGCTGTGCATGAAGCACCAAGCCTTCCTGCCCAAGCAGGGCTCACAAAAGGTCCTTCAAGCCACATGCAGCATCTGTCACAGAGCATCCAGCAACAGGCTGCAGAGCGAAGTACAATGCTGCATTTATTCATTAGCATTGGGCCAGAGAGGAAATGTACTGGCAAGTTTGTAAACAGTTTCCTCACTCCAGCAGAAACATTGTTTTAAGTTCTTGGCAAATTCATCCAAAGCCTCTCCTCATCCTGCCCCTTCTCCACTGGGTTGGAGTGCAGGGTTACATTAAGATGTTTGTTTTTCAAAACCACTGGTGACCAATGGCCAAGTATTACCAGATCTCCCAAGGCAAGAGTTGAACCAATTAAACCGAGGCACAGAATGAACAAAATAACTCAGGAAAATTCATTTTTTTAACAGACTTAAACAGAATATAGAAAAATGTAGGCATCCTTCGAGTTGTTTACTTGTCAAACAGGCAGCTGGGCCCATTTCTTTGTCATCTGTTGAGATACAAATTACTTTTTGCTACACCAAGCACTGTGACACTACGCCTTCCAATTAGGAGTTTCCAGGCTACAAAAGCCAGGTTTGGTATTTCAACTCAGACTGCTGGAACCCGACAGCTTGCAGATTTTGCACCAGAAAGGTGGTTTCCTGCCACTTAGCACTCAGTCATCCAGGAGAACACCTAGCAATGTTAACACAATCTTTTTATATATCCCTAATTAACTGACACAAAAGCAAATGCAGGAGCATGCTCATGATTTATGAAGTTTATATCATTTCCTATCAAATATATAAATATATATATTCATAAATCTGAGGGAACAACCAGAATTGCCACAAGAAACAGTACACGCCCAGCCAGACGTGCACTGCATGTGGCTGTCATCATAAGAAATAAATCAACAGGAAGAAAAACCCTGACTGGAACAGGTTGCCCAAGGAGGCTGTGGATGCCCCATCCCTGCAGGCATTCAAGGCCAGGCTGGATGTGGCTCTGGGCAGCCTGGGCTGCTGGTTGGTGACCTGCACATAGCAGGGGGTTGGAACCAGATGAGCACTGTGGTCCTTTTCAACCCAGGCCATTCTATGGTTCTATGACAAGGACATCATTTGTTGACTGATCACAGTCCTGCAAGTCCAACACACCAACTCCACGCAGGAAGAACTGGCAATCACTGAAACCATTTACAGCAGTGCTAACCTGGCACCTCTCTGAGCAAAGGCAGCAGACTGCCCATGGCACCCATGTGAGCCAGAGGCACAGCAAGCACCAGCACCACCTCCTGAGCTTCTCCTCCTTGTGGCATTGACACCTAAGAATTTTTTTCCTTCATGCTTCTCAATGTTACAGAAACACCAAGCGAAGGAACGAGATTTTGTCATACACAGATTGGAACTTAATTCCTAACAAAGCCTGATGAGGCTGCTCCGAGCCTGAGGAGCCAACAGCTCAGTTCATCAATGACTAACACAGATTATTCAGTAATATAAAAACCAACATGTGACAGCTCTTGAAATGAGATGGAAGAGAACGTTTAGTTTCAAGCAGCACGTCTGCTTCTTGTCACAGCAGCCAGAGCTGTTCTGCTCAGCAGACAAACACCAAAGTCACCTTTGCTCACCAAAATGCTAATGCTGCAGAGCCTACAAGTCACCCACCTGCAGTGCCATGGTTAACAGCGTGGGGAAAGAGAAAGAAAAGAGAAACAGCATTTTATTCTGAAACAGAGGAAATCTTTTAAGTTTTCAGCTAACTGCACACTTCAGATATTTTGAAGCGTATAAACAGGAAAAAGGGGGAGAAACTGAATTTGTTTTTTTCTTTTATGTGCATGAAGACTAGCCAAAGTTTCTACTTTTCAGTGTTAGTACTGTTTGTCAATGCTTGATTTTCAAAGAAAATCAAAATCTTTGGAACAATTATTTTCAATGAAATCTTCTGTCTAGATCACACACATATACATATCCTGCTAGTAGCAGGAAGTTTGTACGTGAAGAAGAAGGGTAAAGAGAAGCCTTCAGAAAAGCACCATGGCCTCAAAACCACAGCAGTACGTGCCTTCACACGGAGCAGACAACAGTCTGTGAAGGATTTTAAAAGTGGCAACTGAGCTGCCATTACTTCTTGATGCTCAAAATACCGTTATGCTATTTTTAAGCAGGTAAATGTGACAGATAGTGCTGTTATTGCATTGAACTGCCTTTGTGATTGACTCCATTCCAAAGCACGGCCTAAATCTAAGGGGAAAAAAATACACACAAAAAAAAAACCCATCAACCAACTCCTGCATCTCACCAAAAGAACTCCAGCTAAAACCAACCAACACCAAGAATGACCACTTCTTTTCCAGCAGACACATTAAGATTTATTTGCAGTGCTCAATCAAGCACTCATAAAGCAAATAACCCCTTTTCAAACCGCAGCCTGAATCTTCACAACAACATGAAGTGCTCCACTCCAAAGCACTCAAAAAAAGCTTCCAGAGTCACAGCAAGCACAGCCCATCTCATCTCATCTCATCTCACCCCCGTGGCTTTTCTCAATGCCCCCAAACCCAGGTACCAGCAAACAGAGAGCAGACTCACCGACAGGTAGCTGCTGGCATCCACGTTGTCGGTGATGGTCTGGCGCTCACCCCTCTGGTTGATCTTCCTAAACCTGCGCCGGGACTGCCGCAGCGGGACTTCTCTTTGCAGGATGCTTTCCTCATTGTCTTTGGAGTTCTCCACCTGAAACACATGTTCGGGTTCTTGGTTAAACATCCAGTTCTTCCATAGCACCGAGAGTCGATGGAGCCGTAGCAAGCTCATGAGGAAGGAACAAACATAAGTTGAGAACAGTTAAATTTTTCTCAAGAAAACGACAGCAGATGCTTTGGAGAACTGCTGCTGCATGGCTCAGAGCGACGTTATTACAATGAGCCGGAGGCCGCAGCTTCCTTCCAGGAAACAGGTTTTTTTTTTCTTTTTTAAAGCTGCACCCGTATCCTCCAAATAATGTCACTCATCGGCAGAAAGGCTTTTTCACCCACACACATTACACAATGCGAGTTATATACGTGTCTGATTTTAAGGATGCCCTCAACAGAAGTTATATTTAGATATATATGCTTTTCAGCCTTGGCCATTCTATGATTTTATGACACAATCTGCTTAAAGCCACTTTTTTATCAGGGTATTTTTTCAAAACTTCACGCAGTAGTCACAGAGAAACAAGTTACAACATCCCTGTTCTGTTGGTTACTTAATTGGTGTAGGATTTTACTTTGGAAATAGCTCTTAGCCCTACTTTCCCTACGCCACACCTATTTCTAACCACTTCCAACAAATTATGAAGAATTCACTGGAACTTGATTCATACCTTGATGATAAATCACATCTTCAACTAAACATTAAAAATAAGGTAAATTTATCTTGTTAGTAAAAGCCAACAGGAATCCTTTTTATCTCACTAGCTCCAATTCCTTTTTCTTCTATAAAAAGCAGTCCCATCCCTCCCCACTTCCTTCTGATGTTTTGGAAAAGTGTATCCTAGCAGGAAACAGAGCAGACGTGCTGCAAATGGGCTGCAGCCAGCAAGAAGCTCCTCTACCATACAGTTACACTATGAGTTTCTACTGCCCTAAATGATTTTTTTAAACAGGCTTTCCTAAATGTAAGACTTCAGCAGTAGAACAAGAGAAGCTCCACATTGCATTACACAGCCCTCCCTTCACACACTTGAGTAAATTATCTCCAAATTCAAATGCAAAAGGTATAAAGGCATGAAAATTAGAAAGATTTAACGGGCAGTAACAAGCAGATCTCTGAAAATAGCTGAACCATTCACAGAAGCAACATCACCTCCACTTTCCACATTGCTTTTCCCAGAGGACAGAGGAAGGTGCAGGTGATGGGCTTATTTCGTGGGTTATTTTTAATTCCATAGAGAAAAATATACACTGGCAATGCAATCTAAAGATATGCTAGATTTTAAATAGAAGGCTGCCCTCACACTGCAGTGTTACCAGAAAGAAAGCAGAAAAGCAGAGCTCCTTCAGTAAGCGAGAACCACACTTTTCTCAAACTGCACAGGTTTCCTGAAGCAGATGAAGTTTGGTTTTACTTACTCTAATAAGTAACCTTTAAAACTGCCTTTCTTCCGTTGTGAATTTTGTGCATGTGCTACGTGAACTGTTTCAATAAATGCACTGTTTCCTTTTTCCTAAATGCACTGTTTCTTTTTTCCTTTGGGTTCAGCCTTATGGGAGCACAGACAGTAAAGCAGGGCTGCGTGCATCTGGCACCCAGTGATGGAGCTCCCTGCAGCAGTAGATGACCACCAGCCCAGCACTGAGGACCTTCACTATCAAACCCCCAACTGAACAGACAGTTTGAAGGCTAAAATAAGCACTTACTGCAAGATGATGCTATTTTTCCTCCACAATTCTAACTGAAAACAAAGAGGTGAGCACAAACACACGATTTGCTAACACAAGGGCAAAACAACCAACTGCCAGTGGAAACGCAGAACTGAGACCACCTGCTTCCTTCGGTTAGCACTGCAACCGACCAAACAAAACCAAAATACAAATCAGAACACCAGGAAAGAGCTCTGCACAGTTCCCAGTTCAGTGCCATCAGCAGATGGCTGTCAGCCCGGCTGGTGGTGCTCACGGCCGTCACTGCGCCTACTGCTGGTTCTGAGCACCCAGCTCCCCCAGCACGAGCAGCACTCAGCCCTGCCTGCACCAGGCGCAGAGCACAGCCAGCCAGCACAGCACCACGGGACAAAGGCTTCTGCTGAGCGCTGCAACACTGCAACAGCACAGTGCAGGACCAGGCATCAGCTTGGTGGGCACTGCTGCCTGGCATGCTCCTTCCTAGCATCTTGTACATCTATTATCTGAAAACAACTGGATCAGCTTACTGAGTGGGCACGTTCTCAAGAAAGGGTGCTGCTTTGTTTCGCTTGGGTTCTGGCAGCTGCAGGCTGCTCCGTGCGAACTGCTTCACCCACTGCGTGTGCTGCCACAAAAAAAAACCCAACAAAAGCCAAAGGGAATCGTGGGATTGTCCTCAATGTCACTCTGTGCTTGGTGCTAGCACCTCCAAACACCGTGCTGCTCCTCTGCTATCTCACAATGAACCTAAAGACAAAAATGAAGATGCCAAGGAACAACAGAAAGATAACTTCAGTACATGGAAACACTGCAATTCTGGGCCATTTTCTTAAGTGACAAATGGCCCCATTATTAATTCAATAGGTTGTTCAGCCTCCAAAATATGAGCTACACTGCCTATTCACACGCTATCTGTTATCCTCATTAACTTAAGATGACCACATTTTATGGCCTCTAAAATGGGTCAGTTCCCAGAGGATTCCCATTTCAAAAAACTGATTTACATTCTAAAAAGAAAGAGGAAAAAAAGAGGAAAGCAGCAGCAAAAGCAGAGAATGGCAGCAGTCTTTAACTGGGTTAAAGTAGCGAATGCTTTCACTTGAAGATAAATATTCATTAGGCATTGCACATCTAATTGTATGTTGCATATTAAAGAAAAACTCTCTTGGAAAAAAAGAATGAAAGAAATTAAGAGAAAGTAATACAAATTAATCAGGGAAATGAAGCTGAGCACACTTTCTGTCACAGCAGCCCACTGGTGAGGCAATGCCACCACACTGAGGCTCTCTTCTCACCCCACTGAAAGTCCCACATAGGAAACTGACAGCACTTGAGCTGTATTTTCCTGTAAGTTGTGAACCACGGACTTCCAGTTCACTGATTTTCCTACAGAAGAGGACACTGAAGTTCCGTAAGTGGACGTAAGGTACTTTCAGGTGCCTCTATTCTCTCAGTAGAACCTAACTACAACTACAGGAAATTCAAGAAAGAACTTTAAAGCAGAGAGGACACTCGTCCAGGCTGTGCAGTTCTCTCCAGGAACAAGTGTCAGCACTTGGCAATGCTGATGTATACAAGTGGCTTCTGCAGGACTGTGACAGTCCCCTGGGAAACCTCACAGCAGTCATACACACAAAAAACTCTCCAGTTTCATAGAATCACAGAATGGCCTGGGTTGAAAAGGCCCACAATGCTCACCTGGTTCCAACCCCCTGCAGGGTCACCAACCAGCAGCCCAGGCTGCCCAGAGCCACATCCAGCCTGGCCTTGAATGCCTGCAGGGATGGGGCATCCACAGCCTCCTTGGGCAACCTGTTCCAGTGCCTCACCACCCTCTGTGTGAAAAACTTCCTCCTAATATCTAACCTAAACCTCCCCTGTCATTGTTTAAAACCATTCCCCTTTGTCCTATTGCTATACACCCTCAAAACAGTTGTACTCCCTTCTGTTTACATGCTCCCTTCAAATATTGGAAGGACAGCAACTTGCTCTATGGAAATGATACTTCTTTGTGTGTATCTTCACTTTTTTTTTTTCCCATTGGGTTGCCTAGGTTTTTGTTTGGGTGTTGTTTTGTGGTTTGTTCTTTTAAATACAGTGACGACAATAACATACACTTTGCCCGTGGAAAATATTTCATGTAAACCAGCAAATCCACTTGCAGCAGATGAGTCACTGCCAGGAGGAGTGACACACTTTCCACCTCAAACAGCAGTTACACCAGTCCATGGCATTTCTGCAGGACGCAGCACAGTGGCTCTAGGAGCACCTGGAACAGCAGGTCTGTAAGCACAGAGCCGTGCAATTAGCTTGTGAGTGAAAATAGTCTAAACTGTTGATCTGTTTAGAAACAGAGTGAATTGTTCTCAGCTCCATCAGCCTGAAGGGCTTCCAGCAGACAGGAAGGCACCCACGAGGCCAGGCAGATCCCTGTGCCACAGTGCAGTGCAGGAGCTCACCTGACACAGCAGACATCTGTGCACACAGCACCTTTTAATGAACACGTGAACTTGGCAGGGTTTGTAAGTATTCTCAGGAAGTACAATGGACATGGAAAAGGTCAATGGCAGCGAAGCTGAAAGCCTTATCCTTCAAGGTTGGCTAAGCATCCTACGTTCCTTCAGCTCTTACTTAAAAGCCTTCACACTATGTGGAATTGCAAAGCTGAGAATAAGAGCACCACTTCCCAGCAGACCCAGCATTGCTAGCCCAGCCAGTAAAAAGCAATGAATCAGGGGGTGAGGATGGAAATAAAATATTCAAGATAGCAGTCTATTGTTCCACAACTCAGGAATGCTTAAGTCGGCCCTAAATGGTAAGCTTTTGGAACTCAAATAAATATAATTTTGGAAGGAATGATACAATCATTCTAATCATCACCATCATTTACCCATCTAGATTAGATGTATGTAACTACTGCCAGTATGATAGCAGCCCTCGGTATAATTGAAATCAAGGCAGTTTTGCTGCAATTTTATAAAATACTTCCCAATAAGCTTCTTGCTATGAGACAAAAAGAATTCGCAGAAATCACGACAGATTAAATACATCTGAAAAATCTGCCTTACCACAATCATTTCTGAAGGCTCCAGTATGATACATTCGCATCCTCGTTTTCCTCCAGACTGCTTGCCAAAACTACATAAGGACAGAAAGAAATGAAAAAGAATGAGACAAACAGCTCAGCTCATCTTTTCAGTAATAAAAGTAATCAGCTACGGTGCAGATTACTATACCCTGGAAAAAAAAAAAAAAGAAAAGAAAAAAAACAATTGGGTGAAATTATTGTACAAAAATTTCTAACGTAATGGCATCATTAACATATTTTTTTAATTATTATTTACTCAGTCCCTCTCATCACAGGCTGTTATGTAAAGCTCGAACACAAAGAACACTCATTCCTAAGATCACTACCCTTTGCAGATGCCCAAACCCAATGCCTTCAGCACTGGCTGCAGACCTTCTGTCCCAGCTCAGCCTGGGCTCAAGTGAAAGCCTTCCCAGACAGACAGCAAATTAAAAAAGTCTACTTCATTAACAGCATCCCAACTGGATTAGCAATGCTGCAGCTGTAGCTGCTGTGTTACAAACTCAGGCTGCCAACGGCAATCAACTTCTAACACATCAGCAGGCACAACTGAAGAATCAGCTAACTTGAAGGAAAGACTGATGTTTGCATTAAAACAGGGCTAAGGCAAATCCAGAGATGAACCCTAATAAGTAGATGTGCTTTGCTGGTTTCTGCTATGGTTACACTTGGAAAGCACATCTGGAATTTCAGCCACAAAGCATTTGAGTTGCAGCCATCTCCATAGAAAGCCTTCCCTGAAACACCACCGCTGCGCAGACCACTGAAAAGACCTGTGCTTATAAGCTGCACTTTAACATACAAAATCTCAGGACATTTGTGTTCTCAGGAAAGGAAGCAAAGCTTCAGCTTATTCCAGCAAATATATTCTTGGTGCAATCCTACAGGCTGTCAGGATAAAGCACTGCAATTAGCAGAAGCACCGCAGATTAAAATGTCAAGTCTTGATTTTATTAGTGATTTACTGAAAAAAAAAAAAAACAGTAAATGAAATAACTGCTATGAATGCTATGAAGTCACACTGGAATTTTCTCACGCATGCTAGAGAAGGCCAGAAAAGCACAGGTTTCACACTGTAAATTGGTATTTTCCACACATGTAAAGCAAGCGACTGGTAGCTGAAGTTCTCACGACTTCAGTCACTTGAAAAGCATTCACTCATGCTTTTGCCATGCAGTGTGAGCTTCTGAGCATCTGCAGTACTTCAGATCTATTCCTCCACAAACCAAAAGAGAAAAACAAAGCGAAACAAACCAACCTTCTGCAGCACGGCGCATTTGCATTGAGGAAAAAATAAGCTGCAGTTCTAGTTTTACTTCATACAACACAAAAAATTTAAAACAACAAATCTTCAGATGGAAATCCAGAGGTGTTACGTGCAACTAGAAATTGCCTGCATCCTTTTAAAACAGAAATAATCTGTTAATAATAATAATTCTGGTACTGTTGAGCTTCGCTCTGCTTCTGTTGCAACATTTGTTAATTGAGCAATGATCGTGCACAGAACACGACAGGAAGACGACATTGCTCCAATCGAAGGTCAGGCTCTGGGCACTGCCCCTTCTGGTCCATCAAGCACTTTGCAACAACCAAACACTCACAGAAAGATTACGTTCCAACGACAAAACCCACCCTGCAGATCCTAAGGAACAAACGCCTCGTTTACCAGTCAGTAGGTCATGTTTAATTACTTCCTGGCAGCACCACGCGATGCTCTCTCACCAAGCTGAGACGTGGGCACGGTTTCCCCAGCCATTACATTCCCCTCAATGAACGTAACCAATGAAATCTTAAATCTACACATCTTTATTCCATAGCTGCCTACAGCCAGAGGATTCAGCTTATGAGCCACATCACGGCTCTTACTTATAACCATACTGCGTGCTCCTGTTGCTTGCTGTCCACCTATTACATCTGCACCAGCAGCTTTCAGAGGCTCACTGGCTTGTGACACGGCCACATGAGCAACATCTCCCATGTAAACAAAGGCAGCTTTGTTTACCCCACATGCCTTGGCCGCCACAACCTTGCTTTCCTCCTCATTCACTGCTATTCGTAATTAAAAATGCTTAAGCAATGGTATCACATGAGAAAGGAATGCAAGCTGAACCGGTGGGATGCCGTGCATTGGCAGCTAATGGGGATTCAGGCCACGGGATCAGACTGAGCTGCCGACACACAAAGCACAGATAACACATTCCTCAGCAGCTGCTGTTCCCTCATTCCAGCCATCCCCATTCTGCAGCATGCCTCCCTTGTACAGACAAAGCCCTACACAAGTAACACCCAGCTCCAAATCTCAGATCTGCAACACTTGGGGATCTGCTTGACTTCCCTGAGCCAAAGGGACCAAAGCTGGTTCCTCTCCCAGGAGCCTCCCATGAAGAAAGGTTGAGGGAACTGGGCCTGTTTAGGTTGGAGAGAAGGCGCTGGGGAGACCTCATTGTGGCCTTCCAGTATTTGAAAGGAGAGTATGAACAGGAGGGAGAATGACTGTACACAAGGGTGGATAGCGACAGGACAAGGAGGAATGGTTTTAAACAATGACAGGGGAGGTTTAGGTTGGATATTAGGAGGAAGTTTTTCACACACAGGGTGGCGAGGCACTGGAACAGGTTGCCCAAGGAGGCTGTGGATGCCCCATCCCTGCAGGCATTCAAGGCCAGGCTGGATGTGGCTCTGGGCAGCCTGGTCTGGTCCTGAAACAGAATTTTCTGATCTCAAAGCCTTCAATATAGAGATATCAAGCATCTTATAATGCTGTATTTTGCAGGAGCTAGAAAATCAAAGTCATTCTGGCTATGTAAGTTGACATCAAGATTGCACAGTTACTGATGATTTTCAATAGTTACCTGCAGCACTGTCCTGCACCACATTACTGACACAGCAGTGCAAAGGTATACCAAGCAAACAGCTTGTAATCTGCTGCAGATATTTTGCTTTAAATGAATATTCTCATCCCAAACTGCCTGCCTGTCAAACAGCCTGCAGGAACACACAGATGAGGACAAACTGTACTTTTTTACCACTGCAAGCAGAACCCAGTGACCTCACGCCCTGCCTGACTCAGTGAGCTGCCTGGCTTTCTGCAAGGCAAAGACATCTCTCACCAGGAGCACATTGATAAGTTGCATAATAAAGGAAGTAAAGACTGTTTGTTAGGTTTGGGTTTTGTTTGTTTGTTGGGTTTTTTAATTTGTTTATGAATAGAAGCATTTTTTTCTCAAGTCAGAGCTCATCTTCATTTGAAAATCACTTTGCTTTCCTCAGAGAGCCTCTCATGCAAAGCAGCTGCCCAGCAAACAGCCAGCATGCCTGCTGCAAGGTAACTGCTGCCCAGGCCCAGACATCCCCATCACCTTTCTCAACTACCAACAGATGCACTACACAGTATTGCAAACAGTTTGGAACATTCATCTATATTACTGAACTCCCAGTAGAAATACTCTAAGCTTAATTTGCTTGTAATTGGCCAATAAATAAGAGAAAGCCTGCATAGTCTCATGATATACAGTAACACAACTGCAGTGTTTGCATGGAGAGGAGGCAGAATCCTTCCTTCTCATCCATGATCACAGTATGTCACAGTGCCACTGACACAGAAATCCTCACAGGAATTACTGCCTTCCTGGGCAGCTGCAGAGTTGCACTGCTGCTCACTGCATTTCCAACCACTGGACAGCCTCTGTGCCTTTGATTTGCAAAATAAAGCCGGTGGGGAATTAAGATTAGAAGTTGTATTAGAGAATTAGACTTCTTTATAATCTTTCCAAATTAGGAAAAAAAAAGTGAAAACACAAGGATTTAAATATTTCACTTTTAATGGATAATCCAACAGATGAGCTGAAGTCAGTAAAGGGTTACTACCAAAGTGGGTTTTCCCCATTTGTGTTATTTCTTTTTAAATTGGCAAATGTAGGTGCAGAGTTTCCAAGACACCATATGCCGTGCAGGTCCTGAGCATTTCAAAGTAACTTAATTATAAAAATATTACAATGTTTAATTCCATCAGAAAATGGTTTAAAGGAAACTTGAGACCACAAGGAGTACAGCTGAATGCAGAATACCATTTCCCATTAATGCTCGAATACCATAAACCCTGTCTGCATTAGCTGTCAATAACAGCAATGCTTTGCAGGCTTCTCTCTCAAACTGGCTGCAAGTTTTAACTGGGAACAATTCTAAAGGCTGTGAAATGCACGACACGCCCTCTAGACGTCTTCCCTAATTATTGTGCTCAGGATAAGATGATGTTCTGAGGCAGCCAGCGCCTTACCTACTACTGTCAATGAAGGAAATTACTGGGGTTGGTGGGAGCTGTGGACACGATCATGCCATCGTTTGGTTGTAAGAGATCTGCACAGAGCCCTCTGTATTCTTTTGGCTCTTGTAGAAGATTATTCTGTGCCAGAAGAGATGTGCCAAGTGCTCATCTTGCTCTGCAACACATCACAGCCTTCTCTCAAGGCAGCGCCTGCAGAAAACAGCACTCAGCTGTGGGACCAGGACAGGAGGCCTCAGCAGTCATCAGAGCCCAGGCACAGCTCAGACACAGCAGGACCAGCCAAGGCAGGATGCCTGGAAGGATGGTCAGCAGCAGAAAGATGCCACTATGCCTTCATCAGCATCTGGGAATGCAGGAGCTCTGAGCTGCTCGTTCACTGAAAGGCACAAATCCACAGTTTGCAGAAGGCAGGCATAAGTTTTAGGGTAAAACTGATGGGTTTTACATGATACATTCAAAGTATAAATATATTTGAAAGCAAAATGTTAAGGTGTCTGAAGTACAAGAAATGTAAGTTGTGCAAATAGCAAGTCCTTAATCCTCGGTTCTTATCTACCAACACTGTAAAAGCACAGCGTTGGGAGCACAGAAAACTGGCACAGAAGAGACTGAAACGCTTAACAGCCACTGCAAGCTGCAAAACATATTAAAAGATTGTTATCTACAAAAATTAATTTTATAAAAAATAAGCTAAGATAATTTCAACCTAAGCCACTATTCGTAAAGCCAAGCTGGAGTTCCTCTTTCATTATGATAATTTTCTTTAATCCAAGCATTTGGGTTGGATTTTGGGTTAAAAAAAAAATAGACAACTAGTTTGTAGGCAACAAATGCACTACCTGAATTTGGGATAATGATACCAATTTCCTCCACTTGTAAGATTTCAGAACAGCCATTTCTGAATTTCTTGGAAGGGTCAGGAAAAGAATTGTTTGTTTTCAATAAGACACATCTTGAATGTTTCAATACTTCGTATTTTTCCCTTCAAGGTTCAATTCTCACAGCTGTAGGAGGTTGTCATCCACATAATTGGCTTCAGAAGTTCCTCTAGGCCCTTGATACATTTCCTATGGCTAATCTTGCTGTGAGTAATCTCCTTCAAATATCCTGTTCAAATGAATTATCTTGATTAACAAGCAAGGTTAACAAAAAAACTCTTTAACTTGCTGACATGATTTTCCTTCCACAAAATCCCCCAATCCTGTTCTTTTGTTCTGGCCATCACTTTCATGTTAAGAACAATATTCTTTTCCTACTGTACCAAATGTACTGCTGAATCCATTCTCCTGGCAATACAGTAATCAAGATTGGGCCATCTTTGTACCCAGCATTAATGACTGATTTGCTTATATTGTTTAAACAAGAAAAACAAAGTCTTACAGGGCTCTTCTCATCTTCATCATCAGATGAATGAACAAGTTTTATCCTACCTGCACACACGTCTTAATCCTCCAATCTTCAAGCCAATTACTGAATTACAGCTTGCACAGAAAGCCTTTCCCAAGCATCTGCCCCAATTCACTCAAGAGCCTACAGAGATGCACAGGCAGCTGCCTGCTTCAGCTGGGCTATGCCTCTTTCAGGTCTGAATCCAGATATTTTACTCTTCAATGACCTGCAGGAGGACAGGAAGGTTTTCCTGAGCTAAATATCAGAATGGTAGATAATGGATGAAACAAGACATGAAGAAAAGGGGAGCCTGGCCAGCATCTCAGCCAGGCCAAGCAATGGTCTACTGGAGCCTCCTCCATCTGTCAAGGTAATGGCTGGGCAGATGACAGGGAAAGGACAAGTGCTGTGGGAAGGGAGCAGGAAATTGGCAGCAGGTCTTCCCCTTCCAGTCACACTTACTGAAATTGAAAGTATCTCACCAATAACTGTAACAGCAGTTTCACACGTAACTATTAAACACAGACACAAGGCAGTTAGTCGGAAAAAAACAGAAAATAGCCACAAGGAAAATGGACATATAACATATACATCCCCCCATAGGAAGTTTGTCAAATGCTCCAGAGATAAACACGCAATTGGAATTACCACATCAGTGTTACAAGGGGATAATTGGAAGGGAGTGACCACAAGCCATACACAAGGATCGAGTTTCCAACTGAAATCCATTTGCTAACTATTATCTGTTACAGTAAATGCTTCTGTCCACCCAGTTCTTTCAAAATGAGAACTATTCCAGACTGGCTCATGACCTTTTCAGAGCACTAGGAGGTCTCCACAAAGCCTAATTTCTCATCCCTGGTATTTATAGCCTGCCACACATTAAGGATTCTATTTTGGTCCTCACTCATTTTCCCCAGAGATGCCTCAAAGCTACCACCATCCTGCATCACTTTTGTGCAGATGACACCTGTCTCCAACCTCTCTCACCTCTGCTCACGTGTTGACACATTTATTCCATACTCAACAAATCAAATAGCTGGGCTTCGTATCTGATAGCTGAAAGCTAAGCAGTATGCCTTCCAAAAAGGCTGCGGGCTGGAAGGACATCTCCACTCCCTTCAGCATCACAGAACACTTCAAAGATGATTTAAATTTTTTTTTTTTTTTTTTTAAAGCAGCACGGATGCATCAGTATACTGAGTAATGTTTTCTTCCATACAGTCTATGTCACTGATATGCAGGTATAGCATCACATGCTCATTAGGCAGAAAATGCACAGCATTGAGCTCCTTATCCAAAAATGAATTACCTGAATGGACAGATGTCCTGTCTTTTAAAACCAAACTCTCTCCCTCTCTTTAGGGCAATATTAGTAGAGTTGGTTAAGCACTTGTTTTCTAAAAAAACATTAAAAAAAAAATTTAAAAAATCAAAGCAATACAAAAATGCACTGAGAGATTCTGGAAGAAAAACAAAAACCAAGCAGATACACACCAGCATCACAATCAATCCAGGAACTCAGGTAATTATCATTACTGTGTTACCAACTTTCTATTCAAAGTCTGAAATAGCTTTTCTATTCTTGAGAAGATGCTTCACACCTCATGGTGCACCATGGGCCATTTCCACTGTTACTGCTCGAGCAAAAAGAACAAAACAGAAATAAGCAAGGACGAAAACTATACTTTTTTGTGTCCTATCAAAAGGAGCACCTCTGTGATACCCACGGGGATGAGAATGAAGGCAATGCTGTGTTTTCTTAGAGACGCAATTTGAGCCTCCTTTCAGAACGCCTTGTATAGGGACAAGGAATAATCCATAACATCAAGTGTTACTTTAAACGTAATTAAACAGTGCTAATTATAGTTATGGAAAGAATAGTACTAACTAACCCAAGGCACTGTTTCATATGAAAATAGCCTGCAAAGCATTGGTGACTGCAGATCCATCAACTACAAGAGTGTTACATGAGGTATTCAGACCAAGGAAGGCAACCAAACACTATCATACTTCACTTCTCCATCTGAGATCCTGGCCCCAGAACCCCAGGAGGACCAAGCAGGACTGGTCTGTTGGTGCCACCAAAGTCAAAAGCTTTGGGGAAAACAAAAAGATTCAAACAGTTTCAACACCTTTTTGCCCACCTGAACTCTTCACTAATTAGCTATCCTTTTAGTTTATCTAATTGTACATGTCTGTATCTTCACTCCAAACCTTCAGCATATCAAAGGTCTGCTCGAATTTCAATTTTTCATTTTTCTTCCTCCAGTAAAATGAAAACACAGACAGGGAGCAAATTGGATATTCAGAAGAGGAGTGCGATCCCTTTCATGTGCTCTCAATGCAAGAGTGGACAACACATCCCAAGAGCTACCCCATTTAAACCAGCAGTTCACATAACAGAAATCTGTGACCCCTTTTCTATCTAGCAGCTATTTTTCCTCATTACCCATTATATAGCTGTAATGCTGTAAACTAGCAACAACAGAATTGTTTTTCTTCTTTAAAACAAAGAAACTTAATGATGTAGTTATGTGACACATTCCACAAATTCAGAAAAACAACCATCTTCATATAAGCTTTAAGTAAATCTCAGCTTGTTACATCCTCACTTCTGGACTGCTGAACTCCAGTTCAGTTGCTGGCAGGAGATGCAGCCCATCACACCACCTTTTTTTTTCCTAAGCACTCCTGCCTACCCCAGAAGCACAGTTTCAAGATACAATGAAACAAACACTGCGTCATGCACAAGGTCAAGCACAGCATCACAGCACAGCAAGGTCCAGCTCAATTGAGATATCAAGCCTCAATTCAAGCACATCCCAGCACTCCCTGTGCTGCAGCTCTCAGGAACCAACACCACTGGCCTCTATTCACTTCCTTCACACAGAAATCACAGAAGCCATTAAAATACAGCCTCAAACCAAAGACAGAAACTGCATGATCTACAGCAGTGTTTTTGAGACAAGGTCCTCTAAAAAAGCAGCCATGGAGGAGTGATTCAAAGGGTCCCTGAGTTAATAAGCCACATAAAAATTCTCTCAAACTAAAAAAAATTCAGCCAGGCAAGACCTGATGGTTGGTTGGTATTTAATGAACAAAGAGTAGAAGGGATTTAAATGAAGTTAGCAGAACATTTTTGTCCACTGTCTGACTTCAGGAAAAAAAAAAAGAAAAAATGATCTTAAAAATTGTAAAAAAGTTATAGTAGCATCAGCATTGGTTTGAAAACAGATCTTGACTTAACCTGGAAAATACAACAAACTACAATTTCACCTACCTGCAAGGTGGTAAAAACATGGAGTCCTTCATGAGCACAGATCCAGAAAGCAGTATGTACCAGCATCTTGCAATAGTTTCTGAACTGTAAGAAAAGGCACCAGAAATCATTGCTATCGACCTTCTCTTTACAGCAGCTCAGAAACACGAAGTGCTACACAAAGTGTCATCCCAGCAAAGCGATGGCTTTGTGCTCAGCAGCCAGCGCCAGGGGAAGAGTGCCACCTGCTGAGCATCCCCACCACTGCCACCAGTCCCCGCTCCTCCCGAGGTGCCTCCACTGCTGCCAGCCCCTCCTGAGGAGCCCAGCCTGCTTTTTTTGCATTGGTTTCTTGGTGTACACAGCCACACTGCTGCTGCCAACGGAGCCGTGCTGCCAGCTGGTGGGCACCACCCAGGCACCAGCACTGCTATCCCCAGCTCTCGTCAAAGCTCTCAGCCAGCCTGGCCAAGCTTGTGCATTGTAAGTCTTGTATCTACAACTGCTAAAAGAGGAAATGATGTATTACAGCACGCATTACAGTGGTTTTGTTTACACTTCTGCTGGAGAACTCCCACAGCAATATCTATACTTACCAAAAGAGAACTTGGTTGCCCTTGTACCTCTCATAGCGAGCGCTGGATGACATTATTCTGAAGGAGAAGATGACATTTAATTTCAATGGGTAATCCCCAAAGATCATAAGCCATTAATCACCACATTTCAGCAGAATCGCTTTAAGACCTCAAACTCAACTATTTTTGTTCTAAATAAAGGATGTGCTTCACCAGAAAATTCAAATTATTACGGTCTTCTTCTCTTCATTATCCAAATAGATAACATTCAGCTTGTTCTCTAAGTGCTTAAATCACTCCTACACGTTGGAATTAGCCATAGCAACAGAACCGAAGGCACTAAAATACTTCCAACGCACTTTTTGTGCTTTGTTGGCCTTCCATTTTGTGTGTTCTGAGATCATCTGGATGTCTGAAACAGTCAAAGGCATCCGCAACCCGGAGCTAACATGGGGTACTTCCTACACAGTCCCTTGCAGACAAATGGCAGTAAGCCCTGCCCTCATTGTCAGCAGAGCTCATTAGCTTGCACTCTGTGCCACAGCACTGCAGTGACACAGCTCAGCAAAGAACTCAGCTCACGTTCTGCCACCTCTAAGTGCAGGCAGAGAAACCCCTGCTCACCTCCACAACAAACACCCCGACAGCACCTATGGCACACAGCACCACTGCCACAGTACTTTACCTCAGCTGATGCTCCCTGAAGTGTGAGAGTATGTCCAGCCCATGAAGGAAGGTGTAGATAGTATTTAAGTCCTAAAAAGACAAAAAAAAGAAAAAAAAAAGATATGAGCAATTTTATTCACAGCATCTAATCATTTCTGCATTACTTTCTCCAATACTGAAGTAAGTTCTACAGCCTCACAGGAAACTGTATTGATGCTCACAGCCCAGCTCAGCAGCCAGGCTGGGATGCACAAAATACTCACACTTCAGCTGCTGCAGCAATGGCTGCACAGTTACCTGAGCAAGGCAGCCTGCTATTAAAATGCATCTGAAAACACAATGTACATGAACGGATACCACAGCAAACGCGGTATAACAAGCAGTATGACTTCTCATATTGGATGAATAGCACATCTAAAATGTTTTAACACCTGTTCTAAAGAGGGAAGAGATCAGGGAACTCTGTAGAAATGCTTTGCTAATAGCAAAGAACGTGAGAAAACCTAAACCATACAGCACAGCCCCCGCAGCGCAGAGGGCTACAGCACCTCTCCATAACTCGGTACAAGTGACATTTTGCATCCATCTCAGACCCAGCTGCAGCACAATAAGCCTCTGGCTCAGCCCAGCACCAGCAGCTCCTCCAGCACATTCTGACAAAGGCACAAAGCACACAGGTTTGGATTCGTCTCCCTCCTCCTGCTGTGAGGTCTCAGCATCACAGAGCCACCCTTCAGCAGCCACGGACAGAACCAACTTTCTTGAAGCAACAGTATTCCAACATGCAGATGATTCCACGTGGAAGACAAGATTTTATACAGAATGGGTAATTAGGAGAAGCAGCAGTTTGAGCTCCTCTCTGCACAGAATTTTCTTTATTCACCAACATATTTGCTGTTGGTACAGACCACACGTCCAGGGAAGCTCACCAGGGCCATTCCTCACCCTGGGTTCTGTCCTGAGCAGGTGGGCTGCTGGCTTTAACACACACAGCACGTAGTTACATACCACTGACTCTCCAGCTCAGCCTCAGAAAATATGCTCTGAGTTCTCCAGCACTGCATTTATACAGCATTTGCAAAAGAGAAATCAATATGAATGCTAGCATGAAAATTTACAGTGGGTTTGCTTTAGGAAAGTTCTTTGGCTTAATACCCAGTGTTTAGAAATATAGCGGATACGGACTGTTGTACCAAATGAAAGGTCAGATGTAATTGCAGGCCATGTAAAACCAATAAAACTCCCAATTTTTTTTTCTTTTTTAAATGTCATTACCAAACCCATGAAAGTTAAACAGAAAGCCTGAATGCTTAACATTCATATCTACAAAGCTAGGATTTCCCACCGCCCAGCCTCACTGCAACAACAGCTGTGCACCACCACTGCTGTGAGCTGTTTAAGCTGCATGCAGATAGAGCTGCTGCTCCTGCACTGCTCAGGCTGCATCTCCAAGAAGTGACCACATCCTCATGGCAGCATTGCCCCCGGAGCAGGGCAGCTCCTCTACATAAAGCTGAGCATGAGATGAGGAGCAGTTACTTTAAAAACCTGATGTGTGCTGCAGCACCAGACCAACACATAACCACAGCACAAAGGGCAGAGATCACTCTTACAGATAGCCATGGCAGAAAGTGCCATAAAAACAACGATCCCAAAGTGCAACAATAAATGGCACACGAGCAGAACTCGGAGCACTCCCTGAGAGCTTACAGGCAATCTCTGCCAACGCATGAGATGATAGTTAACAATAAAGCAAATCCGCCATGTGCACATGGACCAAGGTCCAAGTTGGTGGGTTTTTTTATTTTGTAATCTGTATTTTTAGAGCTTTTAACCACCCTGAAACTAAAACACCCTTTAAATAGTACACCCCAATACACTCTTCAGTCTTTAACAGACAACTGCCTGCCCCCGTTTCCTTATGGAGGGGTATGCCCATGTTTTCTGTCCACTCAAGTGATGTTACAAGGGGCACAGAGCAGCAAGCAGTGGTTGTGAACGCTGCCAGGACGGGCTTGAGAGCCATGGGGGCTGGGACGCGGATGCTGCAGCAATCCCTGTGCTATGGGCACCTCCCCAGCAGCAGCGTGCCGCAGTGCCGCCCGCACACTGTTACTCACCCAGGGAAGCTGCTGAAGCACAGCTCACCCCTGTCCTAAGGACAAAGGGAATTCACAGCCTTCTTCGAGTTTTATTTGAGTTAACTTTTAACAGCTTAACATCCACTCTCAGTAAGGAGTGCCCCTGCCACCCAGGCAGCCTGAGGCTGTATCACCTCCTGCGCCTTCGCCCTTTAATCCATGGAGAAGCTGTAGGGGTTGGGATGGAGGATCCAGGGGCAGAGGAGGAGGGTTTCAACTACAGAGTTCTGCTCACAGCATTTTCCAAACAAACCAACCACAGCTCAGCCAGCACAACTGCGCTCTGTAAGAAGCACATTCACATGCTGTAGGGTGGTAATAAGGTTTCCAAACCCTCCTGCGGTGCTAAGGGTGGGCACTTTGGAACAAGGACGAAATTACTGCATCAGAAGTAAACATCAAACAAAAAGCTGATGTTCTGTATGATGTGACCCTAGCCAGGTGTTCCAGTAACACATGGTTATTTTAAAAATGCTGAGCAGGAAATCTGTTCTGTTTCGAAGGAAAGCAGAGTGAACAGTTCCAACATGATCTCATTGTTGTGCATTCTGATAAATCACCCCAAGAGCCATCCTTAGCAGTCAAAGAGGTACCAAGGAAACTGAGGAAGCCATAAATCCCTCCACAACCCTTCTAGCACTGCCCAGCACATTACATGCAAGGGCTGAGGAAGGAGTCCCCACACAGCTGCACTCGGTACAACATGCAGCACCAACCCAGTGCTCTGTTCACTGAAGGCATCTGAAGCCCAAACTGGTACGAGGATAAGGGTTTTGTTCAGCTGTTGTCCCAGATCAAGTCATCTCTGAATTAAAGTAGTTATTTAAAATGTCTAGATTTCAGTAAAGCAAACAAAAGTTCTTGGGAAAACAGACAGCAAGCTGCCAGCAGCTCTCCTCCAGCCTGCCCTGCCTCACCCCGCAGTGATTCAGCAGGCTCCTTATATAGATTGAATGCATCTTTCATTAGGAATCCCGTCAGCCTCAATACAGACTTTGTCACCTGTAGGGGGTGCAGCAGAAGAGAGGAAATGTTGCTCAGCATGGTTTATGGTTTTCATTGCTTCCCTTCCTGTTACTTCACCGAAGGCTGGAATCCGCACCGTTTCCTTTACTCCCTGTTTAAGGCCAATTGTAAAAATAGTCCTCCCAAATTCTTTCCTGATGGTGTAACACTAGAAATAAAAACACAGAAACATTCTCGAGCTGCCTGACCCACGTTCCATATATTCAGAGATCACTGTGGCAGAGGCGCTGACCCCAGGAGGCACCCAGCTCTGCCCCTCGCATGGGAACAAAGCCATCTCTTGGCTGGGGGACCACAACAGGACAGGGCACAGCCACTCCTGGCCCCCACCAGTACGTGCCCTGCTTGGTGACAAGGCTATCTGACTTCATTAATGTTTTTGTGTGAAATAATACCGCCTTTGGGCTCTTCACTTAGAGCTGGGCAGCACACCAAGAGCAGCAATTCCCTTTAAAGCATCCTCCTGCTTAGCTAACGGCCTTTAAACGAAATGGATACACAAAGCTTAGGCGTTATTAGGGAGAAAAGATGGATCACTCAGACACACAGCATTTGCACAGGACAGCATAGCTGAAGGAGCACTACTAAGGAGCAAAGCGTGTCACACCACTTGATGCAAGAAATACCAGAAAATCCAAAAACCAGCCTGAAGTGCCTCCTGTCCAACACAGCAGCAGCCTTGAATTGCTCAGGCTGCTCCCAGTGATGTCTGTGTGAAGTGAACTGGTTCCGCTGCTTCAGAGCCACACAGCATTACTCAGGAAGAAAGCAGAATGTATTTCATGAAGAAATCTTCTCTCTAAAGAAGAGCAACAAGTGAAACCTCTCTGGTCTCAATTAGCAGTCTGCTCACTCCGGGCATTTATTTAAGAAAAGATGAACTTTCCTAGGATCTTGCTAAAAAACCCTGAATTGTTTATGATGATTTTATAGCACGGGATCACTACAGGCAGACAACAGAACAGCTTCAGATGGCCAAGGGACAGCCTCCTCATGTACCCATCTATCAGACAGCTCCAGGTCTCGGCCACATTAGGACAAGATATCAGGCAATATCCAGGGCTGTTCCATCCCCACGTGGCCCAGCTGGCACACACTGCTTCTGCCCACTGTGCCACCTTCATCCAGCAGGAGGAGACACAAGGGACTGCATTTCTGCCCCGAATCCAGGAAGCGAGTACAACTGACAGCATGAGTTAATAGCACAGCCACCAATAGGAAACTGAAAATCTGGCTTCAGTTTTTCTGGACTGTCAGAAGTAACGTTTGCAGGTTTGGATTGGTTTTTCTTCCTGCAAACACAGCACATCTCTCAAAGGGGCTCATGCAGTTTCCTATGTCTTAAATGCACTTCCCCACAACATGCATGCAGGGCCACAGGCACAGACTTCAGAATTACATTTCACACCCAGGAACAGAAGTATCCTTAACACAAGTTGAAAAAGACAGATCTGCTTTAAGAACACAGGCCCCAGAGCCACCACTACAGCTTATTTCTAGACAGAAAGCATCGCCATGGGACTACTCATTTCCAGGAGAGAAAAAAAAAAAATAACAGAAAAAAATAAAGCAAAGTTCTTCTACATGAAAATAAAACAAAAAGTGTCTCTGCTCCCCAGCAACTCCCCCACCCAGAACAGATAAACAGCCTCCACCCATGAACCCTGGACTGTGATGATAGAAGACTCTGGTAGAAAGAAAAACACTTGAAGAATGAGGGAGGGAGTTTATTTTTTATTATTGTTTTTACTGCTGTTTCATCACACTGAGTCAGCACTTCTGGAGCCCTCGCTTTGCACAAGAGGGAAGAAAGAGTAGAAAACTTCCTTTGGGTTTTGCAGAGCAGATCCTGAGGCCCCAGTTGCAGAGCCAGGAGCATCAAACAGCTCCAAGGCAGCGGCTCACAGGGCTTTGGGTATCTGA